TACTTTGTGTGTGTACATCAAATATTTTTGTTTCCTTCACTTATAAAATATAAGCTGTAAATGGGGCTAGTGCATTTTCAATTGTAGGCATGTTAGTTGTATCATGTTAGGCGCAAGTATGACTTTCTCATTGTCTTTTTTCAGAGATTATGTATGGTTTAAGGAGATGTGTACATGTGCCAAGTTGACAAGAGGTGGACTGTGATGGTTAAGATTGTGTGCCAACTTGGCTGGGCCATGATTCTCCGTGTTTTAATGTAATCACTCCCATGACTGAATATACTGTGAGTGGCCAATCAGATGAAAGGGAGTCTCCTTGCGGGTGTGGCCCACATCTGTATGTAAGCAGACGTTCTGGCTTTTTGCTCTCTCTGGATCCTGCGGCTGCTTCCTGTCCTCTCATCTCCTGTTCTTGGGACTTGAGCTGTCAGCTTATCTGCCAAACCTGGGATTTGTCAATCTGCACAACCTGTGAGTGGGAGCCCTGCTCTCCGACCTTTCAGTCTTGGGCTTGCCAGCTTCTGCAGCTGTGTGACTTGGGAGAGGCCTCTACCCTGATCCACGGACTTGGGACGTTCTAGCCTCTACAATCGCATGAGCTATTTCCTTGATATAATCTCTGTCTATATATATATTTATACACTTTACTGGTTTTGCTTCTCTAGAGAACCCAGCCTAAGACAGTTGCACAACTCCAAGAATATAATCAATGTCACTGATGTAGAAATTGTTGGATGTATGTATGTTTTACATATATATAGAATAATAACAATAAAATAAATTATAGAAAAATTAAAAAGATATACAAGGTGAAAAAATCCTAAGAATAATAGACAGATAGGTAAATCCATTGTCCATGTTTTCTCCCCAAAGAAAAACAAACAAACAAAAAAACAGAATAGACACAGAGACACACACAGGGGGAAGACATGTGAGGAAGATTGTACAAGCAAAGGAATACCAAGAATTCCCTGCAGACATGGGAAACTAGCAAAGCGGCCTAAGGAAAGAATTGACATGGCTGAAACCCTGATTTGGGCATTTAACCTCCAGAATTGTAACAAAAAAAATTTTTGTTATTGTTCTTTGAAGCCACCCACGTGTGGTATTTTTTTGTTCCAACAGCACCGTTGTTGTTGTTGGGTACCATCCAGTTGGATCCAACCCATAGCAACCCTATGTACAACAGAAAGAAACACTGCCCAGTCCTGCTCCACCCTCACAATCATTATGGTTGAGCTCATTGTTTCAGCCACTGGGTCAATCCATCTCGTTGAGGGTCTTCCTCTTTTTCGCTGACCCTCTACTTTACCAAGCATGATGTCCTCATCCAGGGAGTGGTCTCTCCTGATAACATGTCCAAAGTATGTGAGACATAGTCTCGCCATCCTTGCTTCTAAGGAGCATTCTGGCTGTACTTCTTCCAAGACAGATTTCTTTGTTCTTCTGGCAGTCCATAGTATATTCAATATTCTTCACCAACACCATAATTCAAAGACTTCAATTCTTCTCCGGTCTTCCTTATTCATTGCCCAGCTTTCACATCCACATGAGGTGATGAAAACACCATGGCTTAGGTCAGGTGCACCTTAGTCCTTAAAGTGACATCTTTGCTTCCCAACACTATAAAGAGGTCTCTTGCAGTAGATTTGCCCAATGCAATATGTCTTTTGATTTCTTGACTGCTGCTTCCATGGGCATTGACTGTAGATCCAAGTAAAATGAAATCCTTGACAACTTTAATCTTTTCTCCGTTTATTATGGTGTTGCTTGTTTGTCCAGTTGTGAGGATTTTTGTTTTCTTTATGTTGAGGTATAATCCATGCTGAAAGCTGTGGTCTTTGATCTTCATCAGTAAGTGCTTCAAGTCCTCTTCACTTTCAGCAAGCAAGGTTGTGTCATCTGCATATCTCAGATTGTTAATGAGTCTTCCTCCAATCCTGATGCCCCAGTCTTCTTCATATAGTCCAGCTTCTCGGATTATTTGTGCAACATACAGACTGAATAAGTATGGTGAAAAGATGCAGCCCTGACATGCACCTTTCTTAACTTTATACCATGAAGTATTCCCTTGTTCTGTTCAAACGACTGCCTCTTGGTCTAAGTACATGTTCCTCATGAGCACAAGCAAGTGTTCTAGAATTCCCATTCTTCTCAAAGTTATCCATAATTTGTTATGACCCACACAGTTGAATGCCTTTGCATAGTCAACAAAACACAGGTAAACATCTTTCTGGTTTTCTCTGTGTTCAGCCAAGATCCATCTGACATCAGCAGTGATATCCCATGTTCCACAGCAACTTCTGGCTTGAATTCTGGCAGTTCCCTGTCTATGTACTGCTAGATTCGTTTTGAATCATCCTCAGCCTAATTTTAAATGCGTGTGATATTAATGATATTTTTTGATAGTTTCTGCATTCTGTTGGATCACTTTTCTTTGGAATGGGCACAAATATGGATCTCTTCCAGCTGATTGGTCAGGTAGCTGTCTTCCAAATTTCATGGCATAGAAGAGTGACCACCTCCAGTGCTACATCCATTTGGTGAAACTTCTTAATTGGTATTCAGTCAGTTCCCTGAGATTTGTTTTTCACCAATGTATCCAGTGCATCCTGGGCTTCTTCCTTCAATACCATTGGTTCTTGATGATATGCCACCTTACCTTTTACCCATCTGAATTTGGGAGTGGAAATTTTTTTGCTGTTGTTTTTTGGTTTGGTTTATCTAGGGAAAACATTTCTAGCTATCAGAGGCAGCACACTGGGGTGATGAGGACAATCATATGGTGAATTTGCTCTCCCTGAAGCCCAGGCTAGATGAATACCTAACTGACGTTTGTAATACATTTTAGTCACAGATGAGTCCTTAAGCATTTATCTTTTGAGAATCTGATAATTTTTCTTAAAGATTAATATAAATTCATTTCCAGGAAAGGTTGTATTCATTGTCATAACAGTGTGGGTCATCTGATATTTATACTTATTCTGTGCTTTAAATTGGCCTTCAAGCTACGCCTAAAGTCGTGAGAGTCTATAATTCCTGCTCCAAAATTTCATTTCTTCTGGAATCGTGGCAGTGACAGAGAAGAGAATTGTATCTCTGAAATGGGGGGCAGAGGAGAAACACAGAAAGTGGGAAAATAGCCAAGACCCTTCATGACAGCTGCTTATAGGACTAAGGATCACCCTAGTCACAGAATCACTACAGTTATTTTTGATAGTCTGTAGGAAATTCGAGTCACGTAGAAATCAGAGAAGCAGAGGTCACTACCGAAGATTGTTGAGAGACATCCCAGAATTGCTAGATGTGATGTGGAGAAGCAGATAATTCTGGTCCTAAGGCCAGACTATTCCAACAGAGATTTTGACAAACTCTGGCATATCCAGCTAGGCCAGTTGGGAAGCACCAGGATCTGGATCTGTTCAAACCTTAAATCCAAAGGCTGTCAAAAAAAATTCTCAGTTCAAGAGAGAAAAGAGATGGTGGCAGTGTCCAGGAAGTCCAACCCAGGTCAATGCCAGGAGACTTCTGAAATTCAAATTTTTGTATTAAATCATAGGTGATAATCAGAAGTTTAATTATGGATGGACAACTAACAAAGAAGACTGAAAAGCAGCAAGTGAGGTCTATGTGAGGTGAACAAAGGTAGTTTGAGATAAAAGTTTACAGCGTGGGCATATGCCGGGGAAGTCCCTCGTATTCAGTTGTTCCAGGGTAGATATTTTCTCTCTTTACAAATAAACACTTTTTTGCAACTAAAAATGTGATACATAATAAGTATAGAAAACTCTGACAAGTATCCATAGGAGAATAAAACATCACACATGATTCTACATTCAGATATAATTGCTGTTAACAGTTTGAGGCATTGCCCTCCCATTAATGCACTTTATGTGAATATGATGTTATTCGGTATGCATAATACATACCCTGCTTTTCTAATCAACACATTAATATCCTTTTGTTCTATATTTTTAAGTTCTTCCTAAATACAGTATTTACATCTTTAATTTTTAATGGCTTTATGATATTCCCTTATATCAGTGCATCCTAGTGTACCTAGCATTCCCCCAAATTCGTAGCAATTTCAGTTGATTCTAGATTTTTTCTTTTGTGAATACTGCACAGCAAGATCATAAGTTGTATACAATATTTGTCTTCATTTTTGGCTACTTTATGATACTTTTCTAGAAGCTATGTAACTAAGTGAAAGATATAAACGAACTCTAGGGCTCTGGTTCCATATTGTAAAATGATGTTAATCATTTATACTCCAGAAAGTAAAATGACGTTAATCATTTATACTCCAGAAAGTAAAATGACGTTAATCATTTACGTCCCGGGAAGTATTGCCTTTTTTTGCTGAAGTCTTGCCAAGACTGGATATTTTTATTGCAGGATAAAGAAAACAGAAAGAAATATAACTTTGTAGATGGGAAAGTTAAAAAGATAATTTTTCTTTTAATTTCTGCTTTTGATTCTTTATTGAGAGTCAACGTTTTGAAAAGAGCTCATGAACAATTTGTTTAAATTGTGTGCATGTACGTGTACTGGTGTGTGTGTGTGTGTGTGTCTGTGCGGTCTAAGATATTTAAATGTTTCAAGTGGTGCACGATCAAGAAGGGGCATCACCATCAGCAAAAAACAAAGAGAGGTAGTATATGTAAGTTTCTAGTCTAACAAATGGTCAGTAGTTATTCAGTGAATAGCTTCTAATAATTTAGGATAATGTGTGGTAGATCTGAAGAGAAAACTTACTAACCCAAGATATTAATCATTATAGAACAATTAAGAATTCTCTTTGAAAAAAAATTAGTGTGGTGGGGAGAATTACTCCATGGAATCCTGCTTTAACCTTGGCCCCTCCTACAAGCGATTAGATAATAGTTGGCTTGGGCAACTGGACTGTTGCCTTTCTGTTGCTCATATCTCTGGGGAAAGCAGAGGAAAGAAAACAGGCTCAGCTTAGTCAGCTTAGTCAGGCTCAGCTTAGACAGAAGATGGATCTCAAACGTCATTGTGTGAAACTAAATGATGGTCACTTCATTCCTGTCCTGGGATTTGGCACTTATGCATCAACAGAGGTGAGGAGAGGGGTCTTGGAGTTGAAGATTCAAATGAAAACAGCCCGAGGATGAGTGGGAGCCGACCTGAGTTGTCACATCCCCACTTTCTGTGTGACTCTGAGGGACTCACTGGGGTCTCAGCTTCACCAGGCTACAGCTATTCCATGGACAAAGTGAGAAGGTAGACAGGCTTCACTCAGTGATTCTGGGTCTGATGTGTGGTTAGCTACCAGTTATCCTGGGCATTGATTTTTCCTCCAGTTCCCATCAATGTCACAGCTTGTCAGAAGAGATGAACCCCAGCGGTCAAGCACACTGCCTGCATTGAGACTGCAATGGGAGGTATTTCTCTGTGTAGTTCTATTATTCAAGAAATCTTCACTCCTATCAAGGAGACATGATGCACAGCAATCTTGAGGTAAAGGTCCTTGAAATGAGGGTGCATGAGGAATTGTGGGGGGTAATTTCAGTTTTGGTGCTGAGCACCAGGCAATAAATGGTGTACCTGGACAGAGCAGAGTTTCCTTCCTGTGTCTCTCACTGCTGGGAAACTCATTCTGGAAGGAAAGATGACACCTTTTTAGGGGAAATGCTACAATTTTAAAAGACAAAGTCTTCAATACTTGGTCCCTGTTAATATACCTTAGATTTGAAGCAAATAGGTAGAGTTGGTCCCCTAACATGGGAGGGAGCAAAGTGGCGAGGTCACTGGATTGAAAACCAGATAATCTGCATTCCATATTTGTCTTTCAGACTACTTAGCTGTGTGACAAGGGACCAGTGACTGAACTTTTGGGTCTCACTTTTCTCATCTATAATATAGAAGGAAATATTCAGAAAACATCATGAAGGACAAGTGACAGGTATAGTCTACTTAGCAGTGCAAAGGAGGATGAAGGAGAGGGAAGGTTCAAAGATAGCCCTGAGACTTCAGACTTCGTAGTATCCTCGTGCTGGTACACCTAAGGAAGGAGCATGCTAGGGGCCATCAGAGCTCAGTAAGGACTGAGTATCTAGTTCCTGGTGATTAGGTTGAAAAACAAAGCTTCTGAAATATTTAAAAACACACGAAAAGCGTTTTGTTTCATTTTTCTTTTTGTCCTTTGGGCACTTAAAAATCAGTGTCCAATTTTTAGTAGACAAACCAATAATTTTAAATTTCACTATTATGACATCTTCCCTAATTGAATTGGTTTGGCTTTGGCTTTCAGGTTAGACACCTATTTTACTAATCCCTTAAGTCTACAGTTGATTTCTTATGTATGAATCTATATTCTAGACTACACATTTTATGCTTACTATTTAGCTCCTCTGTACAAATGGGTGGCTGTGTACACCAGAATTAACAGTGGACTACTATCCATAGAACATTTTATTTTCAAGGTTGGCCCTGACAAGCATCCAGAAATAGGATTTCAGGAGGGATCCCATCATTCTCTCCTTGATAAGGGTGTTTGTGTCTAAACTGCTTGCACAAACAATGAAGTTTAGGATGAATAGCTGCTTTCTTTCTGGTTATCTGACATTTTGGTGTGTGCTAGGCAGACAATGCCTATATGACCAGCCCCCAGTAAAAAGCTTGGGCATTGAGTCTCTAATGAGCTTCCTATCAGACAACATTCCCAACGTGTTGTCAAAATTTCACCCTAGAGGAATCAAGTGTATTCTGTGTGACTCCACAAGAAACTCTTGGAAGCTTGTGCATAGTTTCCCCTGTACTTCCCTGCATACACCTTGTCCCTTTGCTGATTTTGCTTTTTGTCACTTCACTCCAATAAATCATACCCATGAAAACAACCATATGCTGTAAGTTATTTAGCCAATCCCTAACCTAGGTGTAGCCTTGGAGACTTCTAATGCCAGAGAAAAACTACCCCAGTTTCCCTTGAACTGAAAGGATTCCTATGATGCCCAACTTCATTTCTAAAAATGGAAAAGTTCCAAGCAAACCAGTGGGAACCTTACATGCAGAAATAACACAAGACATGAGGGAATGGTTCATTCTGGTGAAGGTCAGTGCTTGTGGCACCAGCTACCTCTCAACCAAGAAGATCGATCCCTGAATAATGTCTTTTGTTTTTCCTTAGACGCCTAAGATTAAACCTGAGGAGGCAACCAAATTAGCTATTGATGCTGGGTTTCGTCATATTGATTCCGCTTATGTGTATGAAAATGAAGAGGAAGTTGGACGAGCCATCCGAAGCAAGATTGCTGATGGCATTGTGAAGAGAGAAGACATATTCTACACTTCAAAGGTGATATGTATATGTTGTGTGTGTGCATATTTATGAAGTGACCGTGTATGGAAATTGGTTATATGATTGGTTAAGTCGTCTGGTGAGTTATGCTTATTTCTACATTTTTATTCACACGTATTTACCTGATAAAACTAGTATCGAAAGAAGAGAGAGGTGATGGCTTTCTAATCATTGCTATGTTCAAATTTTATGACTTTATTTTATTTTCTGAGCTTCAGCCTAAAGCACTATGATTTTGCATTAATGATAGAATCACACAGATCTATAATCAAATTATAGCTTTTCTTATTATCAGTGTGACATGTAAAATTTCTTAACATTTTGAATCTGAGGTCTCACTTCTGTCAATACAGAGAACAATGTAAGAGAGCTATTTCAGTATTAAATAAGATATAGGCAGTTCCTAGGTTGCTAAGGAGATCCATTCCTGGGTGTGGCTTTAAAAATTTGTAGGCAGCCGGAATAGATACGTAAGGTTCTTATGTAAACTTACTTTACTGCAAGAAAAGGCTCAAAGTCTTTTCAGTGATTTAAAAGCTGTACACGCAACAAGTGAAGGTGATTGTGTTGAAGAATTTGTTAGCAAGTAGGGGTTGGTTCAATTGTTTCAAAGTAAAGGCAAATTTACATAACATTAAAGGGCAAGTATGAGTTGTCCCTAATTCAGACTTTCTTAACCTGGGGACTGCCTGATAGCTAACATTTCTTGAATTGTGCCCAGCACATATTAACACGTTCAAAACATTTTTTCATTTAGTTATGTACATAAAAGTGATACTACTTCTTCCGTCATAGTGTCAAACTGAGGATAGAATTAGACAAAGTTTGTGAAATTGCTTTGAATACTCTATTAAACATAGTTTTAGATGATTGGCATAATTGTTCCTTGATAACTATTATCTCTTGAGTCATTTCTTTCTATTGTTCAGTAAATGTTCTGACAATATATTCAAACTAATAATAGCGTTTATGTGAGTAGGTCACATAAAAGGGAAACCCAAGAAGAAAGGGAGTTTTTGCCCCTGTGGTCATCTAGTTTTCAACCAGTAGAAAAATATCTAAATATTAAAAAGAGCAAGGCAAAAAATTTCTAGGATGTGAACATTAAACAAAATACTGCAAAATGGGTAGAGATCCCCTCTGTCTATTACCTGTAATGGGACTCTCCCAGCGCAGCTATTTTTCAGTGTCCTCCACTGTATTCAATACATGCAAGAAATCCCATTCTTTTAAGCTGTTTTCATAGGACAAGGTTTCCATCTCGTTTAGATATATTGATCATTTTTTTCTATTTCATTTCAAAATGAAACCCACATATTTTAAAGTATCACAATAAGTGATTAAGAGTTTGAATAAAACCTAGAGATTACTTCTATTCCAACTGATTACAGCCCAGGTTTGTGTTTATTCTGTCCTCATTAATGACTCAAGTTTAGCTTAATATCAGTGATGTTGGCAAACAAATTTCAGCTTTGAATTTGCTGAACAAGTCACAATCCCTGTGTCATCTGTTTCTGTATCTCTTCATTAAATTGCCTAAAGTATTAATTAAACACAACTTCCTTCTTAATCTTTGTAGCTTTGGGCCACTTTCTTTCGACCAGAGTTGGTTCGGCCAGCCTTGGAAAACTCACTGAAAAAACTTCAGCTGGACTATGTTGATCTCTACATTATTCATTCCCCAGTGGCTCTGAAGGTTAGAAATTTGCATAATTAAACCTATTTCACTTCCACTGTCAGTATGACCATCATCTTGCATGGGTGTTGAATTAAGTTTTTCTTTGGAGAGCATATGGATTATAATACTGGGGAAGGATCCAAAATAATAATTCACGTTTCCAGATTGACCGTTTGGTTCATGTGCCTACCCTTAGAACATAATGTGTTTAGAGGAGTAAAGAACTCTGTACAGTTATAGCTCAGTCCGGGTTTATATTGCGATCTATTGTTAGGAAAATTAAGGACATGTGACTTACTGCCTTTCCAGGTGAAAGAGAAGCATTTGATAAACAACAAAATATGCAGACAAAAGTAACATAAATCAAATATGAGCCCCCAATAATACATAGGAAAGTGACATTTATTTAAATGCATAATAGATGTATAATAGATAATAGATTATGGGAAGCCTGTCTTTTAAAAGGCATTTGTTACAACTCTATACACAAAACACTTTGCAAATGTTAGCATCTGCAGAATTGCTGTACCTACCACATGGGGCTTAGTGTTCCCAGCCCCAGGTGTACCTCACAGCATGGCTAAGGGTGCAGACAGTATTTTGTGACATCGCTCTAATGACTGCTTTTATTCCAGCCCGGGAAGGAGATACTACCGACAGATGAACATGGAAAAGTAATGTTTGACATGGTGGATCTCTGTGCCACGTGGGAGGTGAGTGCTTGGAGGAGACAGCAAAGATGAGGCAGCCAGGAGAGGGGGAACCTAGTTCACATCTTGTACCTGTGTGAACTTAAGGAAGTATATGTGTAGTCCTCGACCTCACTTTTCTCCTCTTTATCATCAGAAATTGGACAAATGATTTAAAAGTTCCCTTGAACCTCTAGAATTCTACTTATTCCTTAAAGAGCATTTTCCTGGTCATACCATAGTGTGACCTTCCTTCTGAAAGGAGGTTGACACAATTCCAAGGTTGCTGGCACTGTAAGTTAGTAAAGCTACTCTTGGAGGATGAAAAGGGAAAACTTTTCTATCTGATCTAGAAGGGTACAGGAAACTGAATGATAAATTTGAAGTTATATCGATATAACCATTTTTACTAACCGTGTGTTCCTAAGACTGAAGGGACCAAATTTCAGAAAGGTGTAGATATTTGGAACATTAAGTACAGTCCTATCTCCACCCTAAAACTCCCCTGGAAATGAGAGTACGGTATGTGTAACTTTCATGGTTTTTTCACAGGCTTAGAGGGCCTGAAATTAAATTTTTCTAAAATATCTTTTTCTGTGTAGTAAATGTGAATCCTGGAATATCTATTACTGTAAACTAAGTAGCAGTGTTACCTCTGGCACAGACTTTCATTAATAAGCTTAATCAACCATAACAATATGTGATGTTAACTCAGTAGCTTCTAATACCTTACTCTCCCTCTAGTGCCCTATGCTCTGCATCTGACAAATGACTCTCTTCATCTGTAGTGGCAGGAAATAAGAGATCTTCATTATAGGTTTCCTCATTGCTCTGAGTCCCTGCCTGATGCCTGACTTGCAATTTGTTGTGTTGTGTGATAAATAAATTTATGTTTTAGCATTTCTCACCCTACTTCCTTCTGGAATCTAGCTGAAGACATTCTGACAAACTTGCTATATTTTATCTACCTTACATAGACTTAGGATTATGATATTCATCTATTAACAAAAAAAAATATATGAAGAAACTATTTTGGCCGGGGTGGTGACATAGTGAAGCAAAAGTTCCTGCCCTCATAGATCTTATATCTAAGTGAGAGGAGACAAAAAAAAGGTAACCATAAAAAGATTAAAAAGTAAAAAGGTAACTGTATAATTTGTCAGATGGTGCTAAGTCCATGGAAAAAAATAAAGCAATATGGTTAGAGGAGTGGGGAGTGTCGTGGGGGAAGTGGATGGGTGTGGGTATTTATGTAATAAAGGTTTCTAAGGGAAAGCTTCATTGATATGACGACAATTGAACCGAGATCTGTAGTAAGGTGTGACCCATGGGATTTCTAGGGGAAGACTGTCTGGGCAGAGAGGACAGCAAGTGAAAAGTCCTTTAAGAGGTAGGGTGCTTTCATGTCCAAGGAAAACGAAAGTCTCTCATAAAGCTGGAAGAGAAAAGAATTGGAAGAGATGAGCTCAGAGGGCAAATGGAGGTCAAATCATGGCAGGTCTTATAAGAATGACTTTAGCTTTGACTCAGTGTGAGCTTCAAAGCCATTAGAAGAGTCTTATCCAATTTACTTTATAAAAGGATCACTCTATATTTGCACTAATAGGTTAAACACTAGCCACATATGCGTGTTTAATTTTAAATTAATTAAAAATCAATAAAATTTAAAATTCAGTTCCTCAGTCACATATTTCAATAGCTCAATAGCTACATGTAGTTATTGGCTACCGAACTGTATAGTGTAGATATGCACTGTTTCTTTCATCACAGGAAGCTCTACTGGACAGCATGTATTCAAAATGCTGTGTGAATAATAAACTAGAGGGGTTAACTAGAAAGACTAGAGAGGAGGTTCATGAAATAATCCAAGTGAGAAATGACAGGATAAGAGTGTGAATGTTGTAAGAAGTGGGTGGATTCTGGATCTATTCTGAGATGCGAGGTGACATGATGCTTTGATGGACTGGATGAGGTATGTGAAACAAAAAGAGTACTAGTTTGAGTCTGAGGTCCTTGTCCTGAAAAAGTTGCTGGTGGTGTTTGCTTTGACTGAGATGAAAACTGCAGGAGAAACAGGTTGGGAAGAAGACTAGATGCTCAGTTTTAGACATATTCAGTTTGTGATGCATAATCAGATATCTATAGTGATGATGAGTAAGCAGTTGAATCTGGGAGTCTATTGATATATAGGTACTGGGGTAAGTCTAGGATAGAGATATCAATTTGTGAGACTTAGTCATGTAGATAGTATTTAAAATCATGACTATAAATAGATCATTTTGGAGTGAGATGAGATAAAGAAGCAATGACGTATGAGGACCAAGCCCCAGAACTCTTCAATATTAGAGGCCAGGCAGATGATGAGACGCTAGCAAGAGGAGCAGCCTGAGAATTAAGAGGAGACTCAAGAGAGATCAGTTTTTACAACTGGTCTAAACCAAAGCTAAGAAGTTTCCTGAATACAACCAAACACTGAGGGACAGAGTAGAAGGGGCAGAGGTCTGGGGACCATGGTTTCAGGGGACATCTAGGTCAATTGGCATAACAAAGTTTATTAAGAAAATGTTCAGCATCCCACTTTGGTGAGTGGCGTCTGGGGTCTTAAAAGCTAGTGAGCGGCCATCTAAGATGCATCAATTTGTCCCAATCCACCTGGAGTAAAGGAGAATGAAGAACACCAAAGACACAAGGAAAGTATTAGCCCAAGAGACAGAAAGGGCCACATAAACCAAAGATTTCATCAACTTGAGACCACAAGAAGTAGATGGTTCCCGACTACCACCAATGACCGCCATGACAGAGAATACAACGGAGAGTCCCTTTCGGAGTGGGAGAAAACTGGGAGCAGAACTCAAATTCTAGTAACTAGATCAGGCTTGGTGGTTTGTTTGAGACTGGAGGGACCCCAGGAGACATGGCCCCTGGACTCTCTGTTAGCCCAGAACGGAAACCATTCCCGAGGCCAGCTCTTCAGACAAAGATTAGACTGGACTATGGGACATAAAATGATACTCATGAAGAGTGTGCTTCTTAGCTCAAGTAGACACATGAGGCTAAATGGGAACCTCCTGTCCAGAGGCAAGATGAGAAGGCAGAGACAGTCAGGAGCTGGTTGAATGGACACAGGGAATCCGGGGCAGAAAGGAGTGTGCTGTCACAGTATAGGGAGAGCAACTAGGATCACATAACAGTGTATGTATAAATTTTTGTATGAGAGACTAACTTAAATTGTAAACTTTCACTGAAAGCACAATAAAAAAATATAAAAAAGAAAGAGATCAGTGTTTAAAAGCCACATGAAAATAGTGTCTCAAGGGAAAAACCAATCAACTGTGTCTAAGGCTACTCTTGGGCCAAAGGGAATATGCCCAATTGGCTTTAGAAATTCATGACCCTGACTTGGGATCCTTTGATAGATTAGCGTGGAAGAGAGCCTTACTGACACAGAGAAAGAGAAGAGAAAATTGAGGACAGTGTGTCATACTGTATCCTGTTTTCCTAAGTAGGAAACACTAATTCCATTTTTGAAGTCACTGTCTCCTTCCAATTTTCTGTATATTACTTTTGCTCTTCATGACAATCAATGCCAGTCAGTTTCATAATCATTTCTAGACAGTTATTTCTGTTAACGGGGCTGTATCTCCAATTTGTTCTATGGCCAAATCATACAAATTATTCCTCACAACCCTTTCCTCCCCAGACCCTGGAGAAGTGTAAGGACGCAGGGTTGGCCAAGTCCATTGGAGTGTCCAACTTTAACCGCAGGCAGCTGGAGATGATCCTGAACAAGCCAGGGCTCAAGTACAAGCCTGTCTGCAACCAGGTGAGCCCCTCAGTCCACCAGAGCTGCTTCTGCTTTCTGTTCTTCACATCCTTTTTTTTCTCTAATTATGTCTGATATCCTCTCCTCCTCTTCATCTTAACTTTTTGAACTAGAAGTTTCTAGAGAGTAGAACCTCTTTAGTATCAGTCCCTGGAGAAGGACATCATTCTCGGTAAAGTAGACGGTCAGTGAATGAGAGGAAGACTCTCAACAAGATGGATTGACACAGTGGCTGCAACAATGGGCTCAAGCATAACAACGATTGTGAGGATGGTGCAGGATCAGGCAGTATTTTGTTCTGCTGTACACAGGATCAGTATGAGTCGGAACCACTTGATAGCACCTAACAACAACAGAAGCTCAGTCTAGAAGGGCATTGATAGGAGCAGATAGGTATTAAGGTTTTGTGTGTGGTTTGGATGCATGAATTCTTTTTTTTTTTTTTTTTGATATCTCTGTTTTCAAGTATTCTTGACCTGTGAAGCACACATGCATAAACGCTAACTAGAGACTATGGAAGTCCTCCAGGTTGAAGGGATGAAGTTACTAGTTTACAATGATGATAAAGGTAGAGAAATCAACTCCAAGGAACATTTAGCAATATGATGGGGTAGAGCTAGGGACTGACTAAATCACAGTCTTGTTCTCCTTAATTTCTATCATTATATTAGTCATTTAAATATTTCTGTTTTGCTGAACGTTTTCAAAGGAAGTTGTAGATATGAAACTTGGCGCCTACATACTTGTCTTGGTTGCCTAGAGCTGCTGTGATAGAAATACCACAAGCGGGTAGCCATAAAGAATAGAAATTTATTTTCTCACACTTCAGGAGGATAGAAGTTGAAAATTTGGTCATGCCTCTAGGGGGTGGACCTTCCTAGTCTGTTTCAGCTTCTAGTAGCTGCTGTAATTTTTTTTTTAATTGTTGTGCTTTAAGTGAAAGTTTACAACTCAAGTTAGACTCTCATACAAAACTTTATACATACATTGTTATGTGACCCTAGTTGCCCCCCCTATACTGTGGCAACACACTCCTCCTTTCCACCTCAGATTTCCTGTGACAATTCAACCAGCTCCTGACCGTTTCTGCTGTCTCATCTTGCCTCTGGACAGGAGCTGCCCATTTAGCCTCACGTATCTACTTGAGCTAAGAAGCACACTCTTCATGAGTATCATTTTATGTCCCATAGTCCAGTCTAATCTTTCTCTGAAGAGTTGGCCTCGGGAATGGTTTTAGTTTTGGCTAACAGAGAGTCCAGGGGCCATGTCTTCTGGGGTCCCTCCAGTCTCAATCAAACCATTAAGTCTGGTTTTTTTACTAGAATTTGAGTTCTGCACTCTACTTTTCTCCTGCTCTGTCAGGGACTCTCTGTTGTGTTCCCTGTCACAGCGGTCATTGGTGGTGGCTGGGAACCATCTAGTTCTTCTGGTCTCAGGCTGATGGAGTCTCTGGTTTATGTGGCCCTTTCTGTCTCTTGGGCTAATGCTTTCCTTTTATCTTTGGTGTTCTTCATTCTCCATTACTCCGGGTGGGTTGGGACAGATTGATGCATCTTAGATGGCCGCTCACTAGCTTTTAAGACCCCAGACGCCACTCACCAAAGTGGGATGCTGAACATTTTCTTAATAAATTTTGTTATGCCAATTGACCTAGATGTCCTCTGAAACCATGGTCCCCAGATCCCTGCCCCTGCTACTCTGTCCCTCGAAGTGTTTGGTTGTATTCAGGAAACTTCTTAGCTTTAGTTTAGTCCAGTTGTGCTCACTTCCCTGTGGTGTTTGCTGTCCTTCCCTTCACCTAAGGTAATTCTTGTCTATTATCTAGTTAGTGAATACTTCTGTCCCTCCCTACGCTCATAACCATCAAAGAATGTTTTCTTGTGTTTAACCCTTTTCTTGAGTTCTTATAATAGTGATCTCGTACAATATTTGTCCTTTTGCAACTGATTAAATTCACTCAGCATAAAGCCTTCCAGATTCCTCCATGTTATAAGATTTTTCATGGATTCATCACTGATCTTTATTGTTGCATAGTATTCCATTGTGTGGATATACCATAATTTGTTTATCCATTCGTCTGTTGATGGGCACCTAGGTTATTTCCATGTTTTTGCTATCGTGTACAGTGCTGCAATGAACATGGGTGTGCATATATCTATTCGCGTGAGGGCTCTTATTTCTCTAGGATATATTCCAAGGAGTGGGATTGCTAGATCGTATGGTATTTCTATTTCTAGCTTTTTAAGGAAGTTCCAAATCGATTTCCAAATTGGTTGTACCATTTTACATTCCCACCAACAGTGTATAAGTGTTCCAGTCTCTCCACAACCTCTCCAACATTTATTATTTTGTGTTTTTTGGATTAATGCTGGCCTTGTTGGGGTGAGATGGTACCTCATTATAGTTTTGATTTGCATTTCTCTAATGGCTAATGAGCATGAGCGTTTCCTCCTGTGTCTGTTAGCTGCCTAAATATCTTCTTTGGTGAAATGTCTGTTCATATCCTTTACCCATTTTTTAATTGGGTTATTCGTCTTTTTGTGGTTGAGGTTTTGCAGTGTCTTGTAGATTTCGGAGATTAGATGCTGATCAAATCTGTCATAGCCAAAAATTTTTTCCCAGTCTGTAGGTTGTCTTTTGACTCTTTTGGTGAAGTCTTTTGATGAGCATAAATGTTTGATTTTTCGGAGCTCCCAGTTATCTAGGTTCTCTTCTGGTGGTTGTGCATTGTTACTTATTACTTGTATTCTGTTTATACCATGTATTAGGGCTCCTAGCATTGTACCTATTTTTTCTTCCACCATCTTTATCATTTTTGATTTTATATTTAGGTCTTTGATCCATTTTGAGTTAGTTTTTGTGCATGGTGTGAGGTATGGGTCTTGTTTTGGTTTTTTGCAGATGGATATCCAGTTATGCCAGCACCATTTGTTAAAGAGACTGTCTTTTCCCCGATTAATAGATTTTGGGCCTTTGTCAAATATCAGCTTCTCATAGGTGGATGAATTTATGTCTGGATTCTCAATTCTGTTCCATTGGTCTATATATCTGTTGTTGTACCAGTACCAGGCTGTTTTAACTGCCATAACGGTATAATAGGTTCTAAGATCAGGTAGTGTGAGGCCTCCCAGTTTGTTCTTCTTGAGTAATGCTTTAGTTATCTGGGGACTATTCCTTTTCCATATGAAGTTGGTGATTTGTTTCTCCATCTCATTAAAAAATGCCATTGGACTTTGGATCGGGATTGCATTGTATCTGTAGATTGCTTTGGGTAGAATTGACATTTTCACAATGTTGAGAATTCCTATCCAAGAGCAAGGTATGTTTTCCCACTTATGTAGGTTTCTTTTGGTTTCTTGCAGTAGTGTCTTGTAGTTTTCATTGTATAGGTCTTTTATGTCTAGATTTATTCCTAAGCATTTTATCTTCTTTGAGGCTATTGTAAATAGTACTGATTTGGTGATTTCCTCTTTGAAGTTCTCTTTGTTGGTGTAGAGGTATCCAACTGATTTTTGTATGTTTGTCTTGTATGCTGATACTTTGCTGAAATCTTCTATTAGGTCCAGTAGTTTTCTTGTGGATTCTGTGGGGTTTTCTGTGTATAAGATCATATCATCTGCAAATAGAGATACTTTTGCTTCTTCCTTGCTGATTGGGATGCCCTGTATTTCTTTTTCTAGCCTAATTGCTCTGGCTAGGACCTCCAGCACAGTGTTGAATAAGAGTGGTGATAAAGGGCGTCCTTGTCTGGTTCCTGTTCTCAAGGGGAATGCTTTCAAATTCTCTTCATTTAGGATGATGTTGGCTGTTGGCTTTGTAGAAATGCCCTTAATTATGCTGAGGAATTTCCCTTTTACTCCTATTTTGCTGAGAGTTTTTATCACGAATGAGTGTTGGACTTTGTCAAATGCCTTTTCTGCATCAATTGATAAGATCATGTGGTTCTTGTCTTTTGTTTTATTTATGTGATGGATTACACTGATTGTTTTTCTAATGTTGAACCATCCCTGCATACCTGGTATAATTCCCACTTGATCATGGTGAATTATTTTTTTGATATGTTGCTGAATTCTACTGGCTAGAATTTTGTTGAGGATTTTTGCATCTATGTTCATGAGGGATATTGATATGATGAGTTTCCAGAAATTTATCCATTTCCTCTAGGTTTTCAAATTTGTTAGAGTACAATTTTTCATAGTATTCTGTTATGATTTTTTTTTAATTTAGTTGGGTCTGTTGTGATATCACCCATCTCATTTCTTATACGGGTTATTTTCTTCCTGTCTTGTTTTGCTTTTGTCAGTTTGGCCAGTAGTTTATTGATTTTGTTGATCTTTTCAAAGAAGCAGGTTTTGGTCTTGTTATCTCTTTCAATTGTTTTTCTATTCTCTATTTCATTTAATTCTACTCAAATTCTTATTATTTCCTTTCTTCTGGCACCTGATGGCTTCTTTTGCTGCTCTCTTTCTACTTGTTCGAGTTGTGTGAGAGGTTGGTCTATTAAGGTCCATGTCAGTCCTTAACATTTGTTATTCTCTTATAATCTATTCAAAGATAGGACAGACACTATACTTAAAATTGGCCTAGGTCTACTTTCCCATACATAAAATTCACAATTTTTGAGAATATAAGGATAACAATCTTTGAATTCTTTCAATACCATATATTTATTGAATGCTCAAATTTCTCAACCTCTAGCCTACTGGACTGTGAGAGAATACATTTCTCTTTGCTAAAGCCATCCACTTTTGTTATTTCTGTTTTAGCAGCACTAGATGACTAAGACAGATGTATTTTCATTCTCATTTAATTCTATGAATTTCTTCATTCCATCCTTAATTTCTTCTACAGCCCAGTAGTTTTTGAGTAAGGTGTTGTTCAGTTTCCTGTGTTTGATTTTTTTCTTTGCTTTTTCTGTTATTGATTTCTACTTTTATGGCTTTATAATCAGAAAAGTTGCTTTGTAATATTTCAGTGCTTTGGATTCTGTTAAGCCTTGC